CTCCCCCGGCGTGGCGGGAGCTGTGTGCTGGTGAGAGCGCGCCCGTGGTGCAGGAGGAGGGGCCTTCCACCTTCCTTCGTGGCTGGCAGGGCCAAGCTGCAGCCGCCGAGGCCCGTCGGCATCGTGAGACCTTGCTGGCAGGCGCTGATCCTGCTGCCCAAGCGCTCTTGCACTCCCAGTCCGGGCCTTTCGCTAGCCGTTTCCTCACTACAGTGCCAGTCTCATCAGTTTTGTCCTATCCCTGCCATCTCTTCCGTGTTCTCCTCCTGCGCCGCCTGCGCCTCCCCTTGCCTCTTGCTGAGCGCACCTGCCGGTGCCGTCGCCTTCTGGACCCCTTCGGCGACCATCGTGCAGCCTGCGCCCGGTCAGGTGTGCTCCGGGGGCGCGGGTGTCCGCTGGAGCGTGCGGCCGCACGCGTTTGCAGAGAAGCTGGAGCCAGAGTCACCTCCAACACACGCCTTGCGGACTTGAACCTTCAAGTTGACCGGGTCGACGATAGGCGGCTGGAGGTCGTGGCCAATGGCCTCCCACTGTGGGGGGGCCAGCAACTTGCAGTGGACACAACCCTTGTCTCGCCCTTGTCAGGGCAGGGCCAGCCCGTTCGGCGCGGGGGTCAAGTCGCTGGTGCTGCCCTCGCCGTGGCGCGCCGTCGCAAAGAGCGGGCCTACCCAGAGCTCGTGCGGGCGCACAGATGCCGGTTGGTCGTGCTTGCAGTCGAGGTTGGCGGGCGGTGGAGTGATGAGGCCGCCTCCTTCATCCGGTCCTTGGCCCGCGCCCGGGCACTTGAAGCGCCAGCTCGGCTGCGCCCCAGTGTTGTCAGCGCTCTTGTTGCCAGGTGGTCGGCCCAGCTGACCCATGCAGCCATGACAGCCTTTGCTTCGTCCCTTTTCAGGCAGGCTGCCGGGCCGGAGCTTTGCAATGCCGGGGGTGGCACCCTGCCTCCCCTCGGCACCTTGCTGGCTGATCTTGCCCACGTGCCACTGGCGGGCGCATCCCGCTTGCCCAGCCGGTGAGCCGCACAGCCGGGAGCCGCCGGTATACAAATGGCTGCCCCCTTAATGCCCCCTAAGCACATCCGGGGGCCGCCGGTATATAAGTGGCCTGCAGGAGCAGACGGAAAAAGGGGGGAAAAAAAAAAAAAAAAAAAAAAAGGTTGAGTGCGGGAGCGGTTGCCATCCTCTTTGCAAGTCGCTAGGGTCACCAAGGTCTGAGTCGCGGCTGCCAGGAGGGCGGGCCAGGATGGCCAGGCCTCCCAACCGGCCGCGTCGAGGACGCGCGCTGCCAGCGCGGCTTTGCGCAGAGCAGCTCCAGCCGCCTCGTTCTCAACCAGCAGTTTGCGGACGCAAAGGGTCGCCACATCCGGGCGTCGCTGGTGAAGTACTGGCAGGGCATCTGCCCACGCCGCCCAGTTTGCTGCAATGCGGAGGCGGAAGGCACACGGCAAGCCCAACCCGCCAACGTGCGCCGGCAGGAACGCGAATCGGCGGGCAGCGGCCCAATCTTGGTTGCTCACGCTCGGTTCGCCCAGGAGCCGCTGCAAGGTGAGCCAAATGGCATCATCGTGCGCAGCGGCATATTCATCAGACAGCGATGGCGGCAACGTGCGCAAAGGCGCACCCCTCAACCCCCCCGAGCCCCTGAACCCCTGAATCCTTCCCCTTTTAGGGGGCCTAAAGGGTTTAAGTGGTTTAGGAGGCTTAAGGGGGCTTAGGGGTTTTCATCCAGCCCCTGGAGGAGCAGGGCGTCACCGTGCTAGAACCCCTGTGGGCTCGGATGCGCTCGTGCGGGCCCAGCTGGGCAATTTCGTTTCTTGTAAATCCTCCCGGCGCTTCCTGTTTCGCAAGTCGCTTGGTTGTTGTTGTTGTGCAATGGTTTTCCCCCCCCCGCCCCCGCGAAAAGAATGCTGTTGTTGCGAAGGCTAGCTCCCCTCATGCAGGCCACTACCGCGCCGGCAAACGGGACACGTCTGGCGAGTCAAGGCCGGTCGCTGGCATCGGCATCGGGCCCATCAAGATTTCTGAAGCCATGGCGACGGCAAGCAAGTCAGAGGCGGTGGAGGCAGCTGCCGAAAGCCCGACCAACGGTGCACATAGACGCTGCGCAAAGCAGGCCGCAGCACGGCAGGCGGCACTATTCCTAACACCAATACCATCGGGATTCCTTCTTCTTCTACTTTTGCCCCTTAGGCACGCGAGACAACAGGGACCCTGGACAAACCCAAATCTCCTGTAGTCATCCTGCCCTGGTGCCACGCGTGGGCAAGCAAACGCATAAAATCCGCGGCCTGCGCGCTCCAGCGGCCCCCGAACTCAACACCGAGGACGAAAGGCGACAAGTTCGGGGTAGGTGGATTCCTTGCGACGCTGGGCGCAGGGCAATGGGGCTTGCAGGGTCTCGCAAAGAACCGGCCACACCACTGGCCGTGAATGGCGACACAATAGTCGTGTGGACCGCAAGCCGCGCTCCATTCCGCTCATGACCTCGACGCGGCGGTCATCGCAACGAGCGACCGCCACATTCAGATCACGCACAAGAGTGTTGCACGCGACACGGGCTCCTGCTTTTCTTCAAGCACGAGCCGCAGCCCTCTCGAGCGGGCGTCCGCGACTAGCACCAGACCTAGCGCAGGCTGCACGCAAGTAGGCAGAAGAGAACGTGCCGGATTTAAAAAAAAAGTCTGCGCGAAAGCAGTCATGTGCCTCAAGTGCTCGGGCGCAACCCACGGATCGGATGAAGGAGGCCACCTCCTCACTCCAACGCCCTCCTACCTCAACTGCAAGCACGACCAGCCGGCGACTGTGTAGCTCTGGGTAGGCTCGCTCCTTGCGACGACGCGCCAAGGATAGGGCAACCCCCAGCCACACGACCCCCGCGCAGCACAGCCGGGGGCTGTCAGTCGGTACATGAGTGGCCTGCCACCACAACAAAAAAACCCAGGAAGGCGCGGGAGAAATCAACGATCGCTTGCGCCAAGCAGCGCCCAGAACGTGGCGCAAGTCTCAAGTCTGGGCGTGGTTTGGCGGAAAAGATCCTTGCCAGGCTCCACGCCCTGGAGGCTTCTGGGCCCGCAAAGCTGCGATCCCACAAAGCGCTCACCTTGCTCAGAAGCAGTCGGGTAGTTGTCTGAGTGATGCACGCGGGAGCTTGCCACAGCCGGCTCTCCTGGCGCAGCTTGCTCCTTCCCTGCCGCCGATCCTGGCCGATCCTGGCCTCACACCGCTGGCGGGTGGGGAGCGGCCGGAAAACAAATGGCTATCCCTGCCTGCGGGCGGGCGCCTGCCAGCCCCGTTCGCTGGGTTCAGGCCACTGGTCGCGGAAACTCTAATTGATTTTTGAAGATGCGCGGCGTGGGGGACGCAAGGGCAGGCCGCTGTTGACAAGTGTTTTTGGTTTTGTTTTTAACACCGCGCGCTTGGCTTGGTTTGCTCCATTTCTTATCCTAGAAAATTTGAGATATCGCCCCGGCTCCGAATCCGTCCGAAATTTCTTGGAACGCATAGTAGTGGTAGTAGCAGTCGTAGCCGTATTGGTGGTTCATGGTAGTAGTAGTAGTAGTAGTAGTAGTAGTAGTAGTAGTAGTAGTAGTAGCAGTAGTAGTAGTAGTAGTAGTAGTATGTAGTAATAGTAGTAGTAGTAGTAGCCGTAGCAGTGGTGATAGTTTGGTAGTAGCAGTGCTAGTATCAGTATCACAAATAGTAATAGTGGTAGTTGTGGTGGTGGTACCAGCACTAGTGGTATGTGGTAGCAGCAGTAGTGCTGGTAGTACAGTGGTGGTGGTGGTGGTGGTGGTGGTGGGGCAAGCCCCTTGCAACGGTTTTTCTTGTCTTGGCACAAGCCATGACGGCTTTGCTGCAACACTTACCCAGCGGGCGGGGCCACTCAGCCATGCCCTGGGCGAACTTCGATGCAGGCGAGGCGACCCTCACCGCAGCCGGCTGCCTACCGGCTATCTGCACTTGCACAGCCGGGGGCTGTGAGGTACGGAGGCTCCACTTAAGCAGGGCATCGAGGCGGGACGCGGCCGTAGGTGTCAAGAGCCCGCCAAGCAACTAGAGCGAGACTGGAAGCGGCCTCTGCCGGCCCTGCACGCCCGGCCGCGGCGAAGTGTCAGCTCGCACGCCAACGCACCCCGACACAGCCGCGTTTGTCAGCAACCTCTGAGCACGCGGTCCTTGTGCCGCACATGCGAACCGTCCAACGAAGCGACAACCTGACAAACGGTGGCGACGGATGACGCTGTCCGGTTTCTAAGCCAACCATCCTTCCCAGCCGCCACCCTGCAAGCACCGCAGGCGGAATTGTCGCCCTGGCCAGCTGGCCGACAGCCTGGTACGGCACCCCACTGGCCTCATCCGTGAGCACAAGAAAAGCGGCTCCCACGGATGCCGTGAAGAAAGCGCTAACGACTGCCAATCTATCTCCCCACAGACCAGCACCATTGCCCAGGCGCAGCAAACGACACTGGCCTGCTGCGAATACCTCGTGCGGCGCTTCAGCTCTTTGTGTGGGATGCGGGTCTCGCCGTGCTGCCGGTGCGCCAAGCTTGCGGAGCTTTTTTTCGGCTATGTGCGCAGCAAACAACGTTCCTTCCACTCCACTTGCGTTGCCATCCTTTGAATGCTGGGTGTTGGCTCCAAGCTTCAATTTGCGCTGGCTAGCTGGAATCTGTCCGAACATTTGGGGCCAGCATGTTTATCAGTCAACCGCTTTTGGCTTCTGGTTTTTCTGTCGTTTTTCCATGTCTTAGAAGCACAAGGCACCGGACCTTTTTCCTCAACTTCTCTCAGCTCCAGTGCAGAGGGAAAAAACGAGGAGCCATCTCCAGCAGCCCCAAGATGCGACTTGCGCTGGGGTTCCAAATTGCTGGCTCTGACCCGTCAAAAGCAATGACTGTTGCTTCAGCAGTGACCCCGCACTAAGCCTTCAGGCCTGAAGAACCATCATCGAAAAATCCAAAAAAGAATGGAGGATGGAGGTGACCTTCATGAATCTCAAAGTGCACTGAAGGTGTTGCAATCAATCAGGCCGGAAATGAGTCAGCTGAGTCAGCTTTCACTTGACCAGCTCCTTGAGTTCCTTGGGCACGGGGCAGGGCTTGAACTTCTCGTCCTTGCCAAAGGTGTACTTGCAAGCCGCCTGGCCAAGCGATGCGAGAGGGATGGTTTCGGGCGGGGGGCGGGGGTGGGGCGCAGGTCCATGTTCGACCCAAAACGGACAAATTTGAAACAATGGAAGTCTCAAAACCAAGAACCCTCCAAACACAGTTGGCTTCGTAGTTGCTTCCTGTGAAACCATCCGGAGATCGGTTGCCCAAGAGGGAAAGGCCCGGCCTGTAAACAGAAAAAAACTCTTACAGGGTCAGCTTCTGCGCTGCCTGCTTCCTTTTCCATGCCCCGGCTGGTTGCCATCCCCATTGACATTGACCAACATGCCATTTGACAATGCTTTGTCATTTCCACAGGGCTAGCAACAACAGCGTTCCCCATGAAAACTGGAACTCGTTTATCAGTGCGTCTCCGGGCACGCCCAAGGTCCTGCGCCTTGCCGGCCACGCGGCCAAAGACCACGCAGTCCAGCAAGGAGTTGCCGCCCAGGCGGTTGTTGCCGTGGATGCCCCCGGCAGCCTCACGTTGAAAAAAACACGATTTCAATCCCCCCCCGCCCAACCCCAGGTAGTTCTGCCTCAGCCCTGGACAAATGTGTTGGACTCGCTGTTGAATGGGTTTTTCCGTGGTCGGGCCACAACGCTGCGTCATCAACCAAACAGTAAAGCCCGGAACGCTTGATACTTCTACACCTCCGGCTTTGGCCCTTCCAGAGCGGGCGCACTTGATTCCGACGGCGTGCGCGCAACCCCGCCTCGCCAGCCACGTAGAGGCCAGGCACCACCTTGCCGTTCTTGTCGATGCACTCGGCGTCCACGGTGCACTCCAGGCCGCCCATGCAGTAGTGGATCACCGGCCTTACACCGCTCTTCAAATGTAAACAAACACATCAGAACACCAGGAAGGACGGAGAAAACCAAAACGTCGGCTGAGAGGCAGGGAGTGAGAAACCAGACATGTTGGGGTTCCAGCAAGATGGGGGGGCATTTGTAGGCCAGGCATCCCTGCAAGAGATTGGTTTTACGTTGCAGACCTTTCAGCATCCTCTAAAACATCCGTCCCTAGTTTCTTATTCGGCACATGTAGGTTCCTTAGATGAATCATCACGTCGCCAAAAGACGGTCGAATTCGAATTGTTGCAAAGACTGGGTCCGTTAAGTGACATCAACAAATTTGCCTCGATGTTGATTTAAGGGAACCTCCCCCCCTCAATTTCTGTGTTTGACGTATAAAGTCTGCCCAACCTGTTGAGGACCCCCAAAATGCCGCCCATTTGCGGGCGCTGTAACACCCCACCCCTCGGAAGGGTCCGTTTTTGCGGTCCAGGGGGCGTGATGATGGCCACGTAGAATGGCTCGCTCGCCACCTTGGAACCTGAATTGCCGCTGCATGTGCAGGTGCATGTACATGTGTATGTGTATGTGTACGTCTGTGCTTATGTATGTGTGTGTGTGTGCATGTGCATGCGCATGTGCATGTGTGTGTGTGTGTGTGGGTGGGTGTGCATCTGCATGTGCATATAAATGCGCATGTGCATGTGTATGTTACGTGTGTGTATGCATGTGTTGATGTATGTGCGCGTGACCTTCAAATGGCATATGGCCGTGTCTTGTTTTAGGGAACCTCAAAGAATTGTACGGTACCTTTAAACAACATATTGAAAAAACAAAGATTGCTGTTTTGGCACCACCAAAGGCGTTGCTTCCAAGATAAGATTCTCCCGTTTCGGCTGAAAGAGTGTGAATCTCCGCAGCATGTGTACTAATGATTATATGGGTTGTGCCAAAAAAAATCTTCGGAATTTTGCCTTGGTCTCTCATCACTTTACAATGCTGTTAGACTTACATCAACCCTTACGTCCACCAGTTGCTCCGGGCTTCGTCGCGCCTCCCAAATGTCCCAATCTCTCGCTCAATATGTTCAATCGTGTACTGTACGAGAGACGTTCGTTAGATACATGACAAATTACAGCCAGAAAATAAGGGGGTACATACTCAATTCTGGAGATACACCATAAGTATTGATGCCCGCCATGTTGAGCCACTAAACTGCATAGCCATGTGTCCTAGTTGGGGACAACTAAACATGGTCAGGGGCAAAAACTCAAGGCCCCACCCTCAAAACGTCCGCTGAAATCCGCAAAAATGGGTGGGGGGAACCCTCAAATAAACTTCCCGCCCTGCAACCATCAGATCACTGTCACTCAGCTATTCCACGTGGAATCGTATGGACAGTTATGGGAGTCTGATTTCTATGGATTCCCCGGCATCCTCTCTTCCCAGGTCAAAAAGGCAACAAACAACAAAAAGTCCGACTTTCCCGACCACCCGGACTTAAGTCGAGGGGCCCTCGAGGATGTTGTGGAAGAACTTCTTGCCGCTGCCAGTCTTGCCGCTGGGCGCGTCCCAGGTCTTGCCACTAGGGTAGGCCGGGTAGGAGCCGCCGTTGGGGTCCTGCATGAGTTCTTGGGGGGGCGTTTGATGTTGCGTTGCGTTACGATTTTTTGCGACTGCCGTTTGGTCGGGGAAGGGGCCTGTGTTTTCGACCCTCCAACGAGTCAAGCAAGACCTGGAAACTGTCCGTGCCGAATCAAATCAACCCAAAATGGAGAAACAATCAAGCATTCAAATGCACCGGAAAACAAACAAACGAGCAAGCGAGCAGGCCAAGCACAACAAAACAAACACACAAACAAACAAACGAACAAGCAAGAAAAGAAGGGCTACATGACGATAGTTGACCCGCTTTATGTGTGTTTTCTTGTGGTTCTGTATGTAGTGGGAAAACCAAAACAAAAAGCCGAAAAGCAGCCACCGCCCTACCCCCCCGCCCGCCCCCGCTTCCCCCCCCCCCCCCCGCCCCCTCTTCCCCGGAACGCCCCAATTGGGCATTCGCGGCACTCAACTGGAGCGCCGTCCCGTCCTTCTCCTGCTTCTTGGCGGCATCGAAGTGCGTCCTCAGATCTGTCGGGGAAGGGACGAATCCTCTAAAGGCCTTCAGACGGCCACATTACCATGTGTGTGTGTGTGTCTGCGTGTGCGTGTGTGCGCCATATTTTGAGGAAACTCAATGAGGTGAGAAGGGAGGGGTGGTTCTTTTAGGCTAGCTGTGCGTCCTCCAATATTTCTGGGGACCCTTCCGTGCCCCATGGTCTCTCACAAGAACAATGGGCTGAAAGATTGGGGATCAACATGTAGAACAATGGCTCAAACTGGCCTGATCAATGTGTAAAGTGACCACATGACCAATTTTTGGAAAACAAAGTTACAAGAGTTTCAAGGCGTGTTGTGGGGTTTCACAAGAATCCAACCAGGGAGGAAAAGCAAAAAAACAGCATGCCAGGAAAAAAATGCAACCAAAAATGTCGCCTTTGTGAGCAAAGGCTCTGGTGGGTGTCGATCAGCTTCTGCACCGGCACGCCCATGTCCTTGGCCAAGTCCTCGCCTGAGGCGTAGTACTTCATGACGCCGCGGCCCGTGTAGTGCTTGGCCTAACCCTCCGAAACAAGCCCAGCGACCCGAGCTTTCGATGTTTTGAGGGTTGGGTTTTGAGGCGAAACCAGGAGGAAAGCCATGTCTTGTTTGGAGGGAGGGAGCGATTTTGAGACATACCCACATCGAGGGGGTGTCCACCATGGGAATCTGGGAAGACCTGCAAGTTGTCTGCGTAGGTAAAACCCACACACACTCCTGAAACCCGAGACTCATCCGACCTCTGCAAAAAGTGCCAACTTTCTTGCTGATTGTGTAAATGAAAGGGCCTTCGAAGGCAAAATGTGAGTCTTGCAATGAAATGGCATCTCAAAGTAACTGGGAAATGGAGCCCAAAAAATTTGTTGGTTTCCCTTTCAGTGTTGGTTTGCCTATTCACTCACTTCCACCGAAACGAAACTGCATGCCACGGCACGTGCCAAATGATCTCCTCCGCAGCTGCCTTGTTGAGGCACAGGCGGAAGGGCGGCTTGTTCTTCCACATCTCGCCTGCTCTTTCTCGGAAGGCTCCGGGCAAACGCTGGCGTCCAAAAAGAACATCACGCAACGCACGCTCTTCCGCGTTGAGACCCAAACAGTGGAAACTTGAAGGACAAAACCGGCAGCCTCCTCGGGCCCTACCGTGCAAATGTCAAACGGCTTCCCACCCGCAGGTCGAAAAGTCAATCAGAAAATAGATGTTGTTCTGGAGATACCTGCTCACGGTCACCTATCCTTTTACCCACTGCTTGAGTTCGTCTTCAACTCCTGGAGTTTTCAGAATAGGGCTTCCCTTCGACCTCTCTTTCAAACAACCCCAAAAAGGCTGCGCGTTTGACTGGGAAAAAGATTCATGCCGCTTCGCCCTTTCCGCCTTTCCCAGCAACTCACCCTACGGTGGATGCCTTCAATGCAAGTGAGAATCCTGCAAGTTACTGCAATTTGAATTGCTTCAGGTAATTGGGAACCCGTTTGTGGATATCAGAAAACAATTAGGATTTATGTCACCCATCATGTATGAGGGTATTCCAACCATGAATTGAGATGAGGGTCCCAGATAGTGCAAAAGGAAACACAAAGCGTGCAACATGTCTGTGGTGGCTGACAGGAGAACAACTCCATGTAGGGCGTACACCTGAGTTTACTGACCCACGCCGGCACTTTCCGCTGATCCCAAATTCGGGGGCCCTTCACTGTTGAACCAACTCAGGTTCAGGGAGGATGGAGTCGAGGGCCTGTGGGAAGCCAAAAGGAAGCGGAGTGCCCGTTGCGGAGTTGGCCTGTGACGTAGTCCCGGCGCCCCAGCTCGTTGCAGAAGCGGTCCCCATTGGCGTCCAGCACGATGCCCCCCACGCCACGCAGCGCCTCCGCAGCCAGGAACTTCACCTGAGGGAGCCGCCAGCAATACAGGCGTGTCCCCAAAAGAAGGGACTTGGAGCCAAGATGGTGGATGTTCCCTTGGTCTCCCTTTTTTCAGCCACCCAACATATGGTACCCTCCAAAATCTCAAATTACAGTAGGGGTCGACCATCCCTAACAGCAAGTCAAAGCGGATATTGACCATGGCATGAATGGGTATGCGGATTCTAAGGAAAACCAAAGGAAAACCACTCTTTTGAGGTTAAACTGGTGTCCCTCGTAGCTGTTCTTTGAAACTACAGAAACAAACCAAAAGCAATCAAGGAGAAAAGCACTCCCACCTTGGCATCGGGGTCGTCAGGCTTCACCAGGCCTCAGGCCAGAGCCAACCATCCTGACGTAGCCCTTATGCAGTCGCTTGGTTGGCCAACTTCCTTTGAAACAACATAAACACTTTTGGAGGACACAGTGATTTCCCTGGTTGAATTCCGAGGTTGACGGACTGACTGATGGACGGACGGACGGACGCCATGCTTCAACGTGGGCGACCCTCCTCAGCGACACCAGGACAATACACTTCCACCTTGCAACACAGCACGCGCGTACGCGCGCACACCAAAAAGTAAGCTCACACAAATAACAACCACAAGCAAACATGAAAACAAGTTAAACAAGCACGCGAGCAAGCAAGCAAGCAAGCAAGCAAGCAAGCAAGCAAGCAAGCAAGCAAGCAAGCAAGCAAGCAAGCAAGCAAGCACGCACGCACGCACGCACGCACGCACGCACGCACGCACGCACGCGCGCACGCACGCACGCACGCACGCACGCACGCGCGCACGCGCGCACGCGCGCAAGCAAACAGCAAAAAGCAGACAAGCAAACAAGCAAGCTAACAAGCAAGCAATCAAGCCAACTAAAAACAATGAAAAAAGAAAGAAAGAAAAAATACAAAACGATAGCAAAAACAACAAAAGCACGAACAATTACAGGCAGACCGACAGACAGACGGATAGACGGACAAACAGACAGAAACAGACAAGCACAGACAGACACAGACAGACACAGACAGACACGGACAGACACAGACACAGACACGCAGGCAGCCAGGCAGACAAAAGGTAGGCCCAAATCTATTTCATCCTAGTGGCGAACATATTTTGGCATAAGGACCCTGTGGATTGATTTGGCACAACCTAGCCAAAACCACAAACGGCGCAAAGGGGTCGCCCTCAAAATCTAGCCTCCAAGTGGTGGGTTTTGCTGGTGAACAACCGAAGAAAGAAAAGTTTTCAGGGAAACCACCATCCATCCTGCGGTTCTGCTCCCAAATAGGCGAGGCACCAGTGGGGTGCACCTGGACCCACTCCAGGTCCACTGTGGAGGCGCCGATGGCCTCGCCCATCTTGATGGCGTCCCCGGTGCAGTGCTCCCCGTTGGTGGTGGGCAGGTGCCTCTCGGGACCATTTGGAGAGACACAGACGGGTGTCGCTTTTGCGAGGGTACCTTTTTTCGTTCAGTAGCTTTAACTGGAAACCAAGAGGAAAGCCACCATTGTTGTTGTTTTCTTTGAGAACACATCTATACTTTTGTGGGCCTGCCACCTCTCCAATTGACTGGTCTCACGTGTTGGGCACTTGGTGCACCCTGGTTTCCGCTCCCAATGTCAAGGAGCGCGCGCCCGACTGGGCTCCGCCTCAAGGCTCGAATTCCTCCTATTCCGGGAGATGGAAACTGTGGGTGTTTTATGACGGTGATTGGGATGGTCGATAGAGTGAAACCTCAAGGGAAACCAACAATCTGAAGGAACCCTTTATTTTGCGAAACACCCCTAAACCCCTAGTTCAATGTTCGGGTGGGACAGCCCAAATGCCCAGTCAAAAGCGGATACCCACGAAGACTCAAAGCTCTGGAAAACCAAAGAAAGGCCGCCGGCTGGCTCCTTTTACGGTGACAGTCCTCGAAGCGTCAAAATTTGTGGGGTGTTTCTTTAAAATTCAAACTTACGGTAAACACGGCAATTTGCTGATTGCCCTATTTGGAAGCAATCCATTTCAAACAAATCCAGCTTTGATTGTGCCGCACTTCTGGCTGCATGTCCCTGGTCCCCATATGGCCTGAGGAGCGAATGTGCGGCTGATCTGGAGGGTTGCTTCAAACGCCTGTTAGAAGGTTTGGCCGCTGGTGAGGGGAAAACGGGAAACCACACCACTTGTCTAATCTTGTTTGTTGGTCTTCTTTTGCAACCTCGGAGCAGTCGAGGAAAACCCACCTCGTCCAGTCCAGGCCTTCATCCCCGGAAGCCAATCAACATCCCTGATGGCCGGTGGCCCCCGCGCGCTTGTCTCTGTGTCATGCTCCGTACCCTTTTAGGGTCCTTTTCAAGGAAAACAAAAGAAAGCCACACCTTTTTCGGGCGTTTGCAACACATGTGCCATGGTCAAAAGTTCCTGCGTCGGTCGTCGCAGCTCCCCTAATAGAAATCGCACTGTCGACCAGTCCCGAAATGTGGTCCACGACCATCCTTAACCCCCACTCTTGATCAAAAGCTGGATTGCTACAAAAGTCGACACCCAAATCCGGAGAATGATCAGAAAAAGCTCAACACGGGTTTCTCACCTCCCGTCCAAGTCGGCCAAATTGCAGCAGGTCCGGGCGGTACTGCGCCAGCAGCGAGTCGGACCCGAAGTCAGCGCCGAAGCCGCCGGAGGCAAACACCCTGACGGGAGAACAGGGATGGAAACTCAAGTGGGGTGGCCGGGCGTTCAGCTGGCCTTCTTTTTGTTGCTGACCCTTTGCGTTTGTTGTTTCATGTGCTGAGTTTTCTGGGGGACACAAGACAAGCGGAACGGCCAAGAAAGCCCTAGTGACTTATCGACAAGCCTCGTGAAACGGTCTGTGGAAGCTTCGCTGAAACGAGTCGCCCAACTAGACACAGCGTTAGGCATTGTGTTGGTGATGGAGTGCTGTGGCTCAAACATTGGCTACTTCCAACCCGCCAAAACAACAAAACCTCCGGTTGCCAAGCACAGAATCCACATTTGCCCCCGTCCCCAGAGTTGTTCCTGTAACATGTTTCCATTGCTCAGCCCTTCATTCCCGTTGCCCCACGCGCAGTCTGGCCCTTTCGCCTCACAGTAATGACACTAGACTAAGACTATTCTTGGCAAAAGGACGCCCAACTAGCAGTAGGGCAAGCCAAAAGAGATGCAAAGCAAAACAAGGATAAACCAACACCCATCGTCTTACATGTTGGGGGGAAGGGTGCGAAGCTATTCGGGCTGCCAAATCGAGACCATAGGATCCCTAGGAAATCCTTGTCTAAAACACCGCCCCAATCCCTACCAACCATGACACGTGTCCAAATACCTCTATCCAAAGCGGTGCCCCCGCAGCCCGGCCAAACCAGAGATGGACTCGGAATGGGGGACCAACGATATGCATCTTCGTGCAAGCCGTGCTTCTCCGTTTGTGGGGAAACACACTCAAAGAAGAAACCCACCGTCACTTCCCAGCTGGGTGTGGCTCAAAATTAAACATGAGGGGCTGCGCAGGTTTTGGTCCATGTCTCTTTCCACTTGCCAGGGATCCGTTTTGGGTGCCGGTTTTTTGAGCAGCCATGTCTTCCTTTTATCCCAGGCGCATGGGGCCGAACTCCTTCACCATCTTGCCGGCCTTGCGGTACTCGCAGCCCACCACGCTCTTGCCGTTCTGCAGCAGCTTGACCACCTCGGCCTTGGTGATGATCCTCGCGCGGTCCGACTTCTCAGCCACCTGACGGAAGACTTGGCTTGGCGGCTCAACCGGATTGTTTCAACCATGGTTTCAACATTTGTTGTTCAAACAACCTCCTCTAAAAACCCAATCACTTTTCACGTACATCTCGCAGAAAGTGTGCGAGATATCAGCAGACATGCTGGATCGCTGGGTTCGAAGCGAACAGAAGTTGCAGGTGGCTTTGTTTGGGAGGGACCGCCAGAATTGAAATGCTTTGGCTCTTCTTGTGTCCTTCACGAAACATCCAACAATTTGCGCCACAACTATTTGGACAACAGGCAAAGCAAAACCTGGATGTCGGCGAATCATAGTGAGGTTATGCCACACCTTCCCAACATTTACCCCAACCCCACTGAGGTGGTGAAGAATATTGGCGTTTCTCAAGAAATGTTACCCAGCTTTTGGAAACACCTTCCACACCTTCTCATTCTCCAACATCTGCCCCACAAAGACAATGACCCCACCCTTCTCACATGAAAAACCGCTTGTATAAATATTATATATATATATATACGTATATATACGGTAATATTATATACGCACATATCCACGGCCTTCTCCAACATCTGGATCAGCGCATAGGTGATGGTCATCCCTGGAAAGCGCTCCTTGCCACGGTGAGTCCTCGGCTGCGAGTGTCCGCCCAGGCGTGCCACCAGGGAAAGGTCCAGGTCGAACTTGTCCTGCCGCAAAAAAAAAAGGCGAACGAGCTAGAAACTTGGTGCGTGTTTTGTCGAGGTTACCCTTTTGCGGGTCGACCCCGGAAGGAAATGAAACATCTGTGTATTTACTTATCCATCCATCTATCCATCTGTCTATCAAACCCAATCTCGTCTGATCTGACCGCTCTACCTATCTGATCTAAGCTCAATCTAATCTACTCTAACCCATCTAGCTTGCGAACGCTTGCGGAGGCTTGCGGACGCTTGCGGACGCCAACCCCTTTCTCTAACATGAACCCTTCTGCTCGCATTCGGGAAAAATACACCATTCGTGGGGGGGAACAGGACGAGAAGGAGCTGCTGGAAAGCTAACTTCAAGCAAGGTCAGCTCAGCCAATACCTGTCTAGTTCATGCCAGGCAAAAATGGCTTTGCAACAAGTCCAACGAGAGAGCAGCATTCTGCCCGAGCAAGCACGTGTCACACGACACCCAGAACGGCGGAGCATCTGGCACAGGTGGGGACTTTTGCCTTGACAAGCGACTCGACTTTCACAAGCCCTAGTGGGGTTACATGCTGTTAGAGACAAGAAGAAAAACGCAACCGGCAAAGCCAACGAATCTGCAATGAGTTTCAACTCCCTTACTCCGCGGCGAAGCGCCCCGCGTCGGTCCACCAGCCAATCCACGTCCGCGGCGCTGTTGGCGCAGAGCACCTTCGCCAGCTCGGGCTTCTTGGCGCCACCCTTCAGGGTGTCCTCAAGCAACACGCCATCCGAGGGCATGGCGTGCCACGAATTTTAAGAGTTGAATTAAAGAAAAACCTCCCACCCATGCGTGACCATAGGAGAAATTGGAGTGCCCCAACAACAATAATTTCCTGTTGGCTTCCCTTCCCTCAAAGATGGACGCCGCAAGGGGATATCGGACGTTGAAAGGGGAAAGGGAAACCCGCCATTTCCACGTAAGCCCCGTTTTTGGACACACCTGTGTTGTTTCAAGGCCTTCTTGCTCAAAAAGTTTGGCAGTTGCATGGTACAACATGGCGGAAATGGGCGGGCCAGTGGCTGTTCTTCGGTTGAAGTGCTTTGTGACCCAGCTTAGCACAAGGCCTCCCCTCCTCATTGCCTGGGAAGCCTTGCTTTACAGTTCGGTTGGGGCAACGGGCGGTAGTCTCTGGGGGCCTGGCAAAAGGTTGCTCGTTCTTGCTGTGGCTTAGGGTTGCCTTTAGGGTGTACTTGTGTGAGTTTTGGGCTGGTTTGGGATTGATTGTGGCCCAACCAACCAACCAACCGACCAACCGACCGACCAACCGACCACCTGACCAGGGTTAAGCCGGGGCTAGCACAAAAGCGCTAGCACCGATTCCTCTTTCTTAGCCAAAAGCAAACCCATCTTGAGGCTTTGCGCATGAGGCCCCCAAGCCAAGCCGGAGAGGAGAAGCCGGAAAGCCAGCGTAACAATTAACGGAACCGTCGTAAACAAATCCACGGCCGAAGTGCAAGCTACTCAGCCAGTTTCACCCATGCCTGGCCGCGTGCAATTGGGCTCCAGTCATCTCAAGCCCTGGCAAAGCCCCACGAAAACACGGGTCGTGACGGGTCGGAACTTCCTTCTACGTGAGGTTTCCCACCGATCACTTTTAGGGACCCAAAGGACCAGTGGAAATCCACGCCACTTCTTCCAGGCGTCCGCGATGAAAATCTCCGCATTGTCAGGGATGGACTTCGCCTTCTGGGTCTTGGTGCCTGGAACGGCAGGAACTGCGAAGATGATGGTCCGTGTGACGCTTCTTGTTGGGGAGACGAGAAAGGCATACCTCCAAGATGTCGTCTACATTTCAGGATAGACCTGATATGTTTGTTTCCAATGAGGTAGTCGACAACAATCCCTGGTGCCAGCCAGGAACAAGGTTTCAGTGACGCGTCCAGAAAGATAGGAACGAGAAAGGTTGCATTGACAGCAAAAAATGATGTTGGGCAGTGGGTTCTACGGCCATGGGCGGTACTTGCAGATGTTTGAGAGCACTGAAAGCATTGCTGCAATGCTTTGGAACAGTCCTCACAGGCACTAATCCCCTGAGAAAACAAAGAAGTGTGAAGATGCTTTCAATTTTGACACACCCAGCTTCGCAGCTGCCACGAATACGCAGCTAAGTAGCGTTCTGCCCTGAAGACGAAGCAGCAAAACGAACCCAAACCAGAACCAGAAAAACACAGAAACAGCAGGAAGTGTTCAATCGCACTTGGATGTTGCCAAGTCCGACCCGTGCAACCCGCGCGCCCAAGGTGTTGTTTGCGCCTGCGCCGTTGATGCCACTGGTGGCCTTGGTGCTGTTGCCCCCGCAGAAGGAGCCTCGCGCAGACAGCGCGGGCGCATTGGGGCCCAAGGTTTGGGGCGCGAATGCCGGATGGCTGCATGGATCCGGGGAGAGCTGAAACCAATGCAGTAAGCCCCCGAGAAATACCCGCAAGGAACCCCTCTCTCTTTACAAACAGAGCAGCAACAGCTGCCAATAGGAATTGCGAAACAAAAAACAAAAGTAAACCTACATTGACAAGGGAAGCTGAGGGTGGGCTCTTCAGAATCAGAGACATCCGAGGGGCTCTTGTCCAGCAGCACCGTCTTCCCACCGCACTCCACCACCGTGTTGGCCGCCGACATGCCCGCCAGCCCGCCGCCCACCACGATGACCTACGTCCACGATCCCAAAAGCACGGTCGTGTCTGGTCTTCTTAAGCTTTCCCCTATAAAACCACCAAAAGGGGGGGGGGGGGGGGGGAGGGGGGGGGAGGGGGGGAGGGGGGGGGAGGGGGGGGGGAGGGGGGGGAGGGGGGGGGGAGGGGGGGGGGGAACCCTCAAAAAAAAGACACACCCATGCAAGTAAAATGGGGCGGGCGGGTTTTCATGGGAAATTCGGGTGAGCTCGAATTCAAAGTAGAGAAAATGGCCTCCAAAACGCGTTTTAAGAAGACCTAGAGAGAAAGATGGTTGAACCAGCTTGTCCAATTGGTAAGAAGTAGAGGTTGTTTCTGCATGTTGAATACAAGTTTGTCATGCACCTCCAAGTTCCAAACAAAGCAGTCTTCCAAAGGACTGCTGTGCAGTTCCTACATCTCTGTTGGCAGAATGGGAACCCGCTGGCAACAACCTCAGGTCTTAGAATTGCGGGCCTATACGCGAACCGCTTGAGAACCTAAAACGTGGCCAAACCCATACACAGTCAGAGTACGAAAAAAAAAGAAGAGAGCTGCTCTCTTTTCGTGACATTTGGGTTTGTCTGACAAGGAAACCCTCAAATGGGCGGCTTCCCTCCTGAAAACAACGTCAAATCAGGTAGACCCCTTGAAACCCAGTTTGGATGGGCTTCCACTATGCCACTGAAAGGACTCCCAGCCACTTGCATTGACTGCAGCGCACGTCCGCGTGTACTTTGGGTGGCCACTTGAGTGGACTGACCAGACCTCAAATGGTCAAAGCAGAACTGGATGCTACGTCAGGCAAACAAGTAATAAAATCAAAACTGAAGCGACACAGAGCGGTCCGGCAGGCCCCATAGCTGAATCCACCTATTGCGCTGCAACCCGCAACAAACTGGGGTGTACAAAACTAGGGAGCCCCAAGTTCAGAAACCAATACCAGCGAGGTTGGCCCTTCCTCTACTCCCCTTTTGCACGATGCGGGGCCGCCTGGTTTGCGGGGAAAACCGCCGCCATCGCGAGTCAGAATGCCCAACGGCCCTTCGCGAGTCGGATCCAAGAGGAAGCTGCGGTGAAGGCAACTTGCCCCATGCGCAACTTGCCACATGAAACCCAGCTCCATTCCATGAATTCAATCAAAGTGCTTGGGAATACGATGCCTTCCCGACATGAGATCAAACACATTGGGTGTCCCCGTAGCACAAAGCTGACCTCTCATGCAGACTCTGCGGCATTTGTTTTGGAGAGCGGCACTCCGGGTGAAACCATGTCCCTTCGGCTTGGTGCTGTGGCGAAAGGCTTTCATGATAACCCATGTTGAAGACCTCTATTGTGGGGGGGGTGCTTTTGTGTTTCAGATGACAACAATCAGGATAACCTCAGCATTCCCACCTATAGTCAAAGGACACATTGGCCACTTGGTGAGACATGCACATCCTCAGAAATCAGTCAGTCGGCGTTAGTGGGGAATGCCCACTTGCTCACCTGCCATCGGACTTGCAGGAGTGGCTGGTTCACCCTTTTAGGTGACCCAAAGTGTTTGATCATAGAAACACCTGATGAAGATTCGAGGGGATGGCACGCCAGCTGGGATGGCTGTCAGGAATCATTTTGAAGCACTTAATTCTAATGGTCAACGTGCGGAAAGCTTTCCCGATCAACAACCGGAGAACCTCACTCAAAGCGCCAAACGGAAACTGCAAAGCTTCGCTGAGTGTATGGCATCGAAACATCAAAACAACGCCGGACTGTCATCCTGCTCCTCGCTGGCAAGGTGCTTCCTGGGTATAAAACTCTCGGAGCACTGGTGTGGCTGCTGTCGGTAAGAAACGTTTAGGGGCATGGTGGGCCCTGCAAGGCTGGACAACCACCTGAGTGCCATAGGGGAAGATCTTCACATATCCAGAAACCGCTCAGCAGCGAATGAGGGAATGGACCCCTATGAACCATCCCTTGCGATTTCCTTTAAGGGGACCCCTGGGTTCATTCCCTCATTTCCCACTGAGCACCACTGTGAAAACCAGATCCGCACATTGCCCATCAAGCCCTGTCTACCGGGCGCCGTACACGGGGTGCCTCTCCCGATAGCTGCTGTTCTGGGTGTACCTGCAACACCAAGGAAACACATCATGCCTTTCAAGTGGTTTTCACACAACCTCAGTCAGGCCTCAATTGCAGAATGGGGTGCGGACAAAAAAAACGGCCACAACAAAACGTGCCAAACATCTACATGATGAGACTGATGAGACCAATAACTATCACTCTTAACAATGTCATTCGTGGCGACTGCACTTGGCTACTCTAAGTAGATTCCTATTTTTGTGCGTGGCTCGGATGCATGCAGAGTTGATGATTTCTGATTGGAAAACATTGGTCCCCTTCTGAACAAGCAAAGCTAGGGTGTCCTACTCCCAGTTTTACTGGCCCCCATAGCTTGACCATGCTCGAACTCACCTGAGAAGTGGTACATGAAAGAAAGTGACTTTGGTATGGGAACCCCTAGAAATCGCAAGAAGATTGGCCTACCAGTGCCAGTGCCATGTGCGCCATGCGCACGTGTCGATGTTGGACTCCTGGGTCTTGGCGATGCCATCGAAGCTTTGGAGCGCCGCGCCCCTCAGCCTCGTCAGGGCCTCGGCGGGACTGTCGGACAGGGCTGGTTGCCCTGGCCTCGCGAGTCTCGAAAGGCAAGTGGGCAGACGAAGCTCCGTCACTTGTGAGCTTTCCTTGAAGTTGAGTTCTCAAAAGCTTGCAAAGGATCCAGAAGAAAGCCTCTGTCAAGTGTCCCGACGTGCCCCCTTTGAACATGACTCTTGCGAAAGAACTCTATCAAAAGATTGTCAACCGAAAGGTGATGATTGAACCCCAAGAGTGAATAGGACCCCAGTCCATGTCCATGAATGGCTGCATTCATCCCAACAAAGCTTTTTGCGCAGTAAGACGCCGGCACGGAAGACCGACCTGGGTTTAGCGTCGTCAAAGCAGCGTTAAGCAGCTTGTCTGTGTTTGTACTCCGAAAAAGCCATACCCGACCATCTTTCAAGCTGCAACTTTTTGCAAACCACGCCACACGCAAAACATCCTTCTGACTTCCTGCTTGGTAAAATACTGACCGACTAGCGCAAAAGTAGAGGGATGTTTTGTTTTTGTTGCTTTTTTCTTTTTTGTGCGAGAGCGTGCACTGGTTTGTGCATTGAAAGTACAAAAGATGTGGTTTGCGCGTGTATGCGTCCACATCATGTGTTGGTGTGTGTATGTATATATATATATATATATATTTGCTTTGCTAGAAAACACACAACTAGTCTAGCTAGTCAGACTTAACTATGTCAATGAGCATGTTGATTGGTTCTATTCGTTAAATTGCAAGTGTCTATGTGTTGCGTTGGTGTCCAAGTGATTGACAAACATGTTGAGTGTTATGTTATATGGAAAAAAATGAAACTCAATAACTGTCTTTTTTACAGACACCATATCAGTGTGTGTGTGTGTGCATAAATATTGCAATTCAATCTGCCAATTTCAGAAATGTGTCAATCTTAATGAATATCAAGCTCAATATGCAACATAACGTTGATTCTGCTATTCAAGGGTCAAGCATGTTCAAAAACAAAATGATACTGATATGGTGCATCAACTTAGTCGCTGCCTGACACATTCATACTTCAGACATATGCCATAGTTGACTCAATCATGTAACACAACATATTTGCTCGACACATGCAAACACAGATCGCGGTGATTAGTCCAGGTCACAACACAGTCGAGCCGTGGACTTGTTTTTGTGTGTTTTTGGTGTTCTTGCTTGCTGCTTTGTTTCTTCTTGTGTTTTCTTGTTTCGGCTGTTTTTTGGTTTTGTTGGTTTTCTATAGGCTAGTCTATAGGTGTTTGTGGTGTTTATCAGGTTTCCCCTGAACATCGACAATGGTTTTTGCTTTCTTTTCCCTTCTTATTCCTCTGTGGGTTTTATCAGCTTGATTTGAAAAACAAAAAATAATTCAGCACACCACTGCAATGATACAAACATAGCGCACGCAGGGCCGCTTTTGGTCTGCTCTTCGGGGTGCTGAGTGCTCGGGTTTTTCTCCACGCACCGCACGCCAAGCGGCCGCTTGGTTTCGGCCACCTCCGCCTTCTCGATCTGGTCGACCATCCTAACTCCAAATCGATACGCCAAGGTAAGGAGAGCTTTCGGCGAATTTCTCTGCTCCATCTTTGTTTCCACCATGGCCTCTCTTGGAGTGCAGGCCATGTCTTCGAGAGCATTCTGTGAGTGTATGGTCTTTCACTCTGAAGTCCAAGGAACACACGAACATCGTACCGTCTGACTTTTGGTGAGTATGCGAATTAAGCGTGCCTTGTCAATGTTAAGCGAACTGCACTTTTGGAGTCCCCTGTTCTAACTCATGATGTTGTGAAACCGCTGCAACATGCTCACTTCCATGACTAGTCGAGCTCTTCACCAAGCTCCAGGCTTGTTGCTCTCCTGGCCGCATGCCGGTCTGCCGGTATGCCGGTGCGACTAGTCTGAAGCAGTCGCTTAAAAACAAGTCACTCCTTGATGGCAGCTTCGGTCAAGGCCTGCGCCTTGTTCTCTCGCCCAAAGGGTTCAAGATCTTCGAAGGGCACCTGAACTCGTTCGATCCAGCAAGTCGGATCTGCTGTCTTCCGTTCCCCACAAGGCCTTGGCATCCCGGAGATTCCTCTCACAAACCCCTGATAAGATCAATCCATCCTCAGGAGGAGAGCTCGCAATGCTCGCCCAAACGCCAAGGGCTAAAAACGCAGTCCTGCAAGATGAGGATGGGGCGGGAAATCACGGTAAGCTCATCATATGGATTCAAGCTCGTGAGCATTCTTCCTGGGTTGTACCAAACCGGGAAATCCCTGATGCAAGCTTACTAATTGGAAATCCGCCGATACAACGTGCACTCCTGCAGGTTAACATGAAACCCAATAACCCTCCTTGTGCGAGCAATGTCATGCAAATTCCGTGGATGTGAGGATTGACGTTGACGAACCAGTCGTTGTGGCCTGGTCAACACTCTTTGTGGTGTGACCCATGGGACCATGGGTCTGGCTTCTCATTCCAACTACACGAGAACAGAATGTCCACGTCCACCTTTTGACACGCCCGCAGGTACGAAGAGAAGCAAAAAGAGAACGACAGAGATAGAGAAGGGCAGAGGGAGAAAAGGGGCGAAAAGTCGAAAGACTGAAAGAGAGAAAGATAGAAAGAGAGAAAGAGAGAAGGAGAGAAGAGAAAGAGAGAAAGACAAATAGAAACAGAGACAGAGAGAGAGAGAGAGAAAAAAAAATAAAAAAAAAAAAATATATATATAAAAAATAAAAAAGAGAAAGAGAAAGAAAGAGAAAGAGAAAGAGAAAGAGAAAGAGAAAGAGAAAGAGAAAGAGAAAGAGAAAGAGAAAGAGAAAGAGAAAGAGAAAGAGAAAGAAAAAGAGAAAGAGAAAGAGAAAGAGAAAGAGAAAGAGAAAGAGAAAGAGAAAGAGAAAGAGAAAGAGAAACAGAGAAACAAAGAAAGAAAGAAAGAAAGAAAGAAAGAAAGAAACAAACAAAGAAAGAAAGAAATACAGCAAGGAAGCAAGAGAGAAAGATAGAACAGCAATCAGAAAACACAAGCCAAAAAGATAAAAGTTAAAAAAAAAAAAAGCAAATAAAAGGCAATATATAAATAAAAACAGAAAGAAACTGCAAGAAAAAACCAAAAGGAACACAAAAAGAACCCCCTGGACGCAAACCAACCAGCCCCTGGAGTACATTGAAAGTCCCAGGAGTCATTATCAAAATCTGGAGTTTGTTCAAGAGTTCTACCCAAGATTTATGGCAAAGAATCAAAAGAGCCGACAATCCGTGCCTTTTCGTGGCCGAGCCGGGGGGATGTCCTCCGGTGCCCGGATGTTGATGTCTTTTTGAAGCCGGGACCACCCACGGCTGGGATCCCCGCCGGCGCTGAGCCATTCCCGGCGCGCGAAACCTGCAGCGCCGTGGGCGCTCTAAGGCACGGAGCGTTCCAAACTTTGAGCAACAGCAAACTCGCTTGGAAAGCGATGCCACGAGCATGTTGACAAGCAATGTGTCTGGGTATTGCAAACAAACATGGTAAGGTTGTGCCTGGTGAAGTTGCAAAGCTGGTTCCTAAGACGAATCTGTGCATAAACCAAGTTGCTTTTAGGTTCCAATTGATCCAATGTCAAACTTCAATTAACAAGTCACGACACGGCAAATGCACACCAAAAGCCCTCGGAATTTTCGGCCCCGCCTCTTGCAACTTGTGGGTGGAATCCTGGCAGTTGCGCGGGGTTGAATTCCAATGGAGAACACTCCAAAGATGGTTCGTGAACACCACTCCTCGTAAAACGGATGTCTACTCAGGATTCCCAATCAAAATTCAAACCCATGATTCACACTGCCTTTGGCCAATGCAGGCCTCAGTCGGCAAAATACAAAGCTCAGCATCCAACCCAAGGAAATCATGTTTCAAACGCATGACGATTGTGAGGCACAAGCTGAAAACGCCGACATTGCATTTGCAGCGTTCTTCATTAAACACAAGCATTGTGCAAGCCGGCAACACTGCAGCCATGCTGCTGCGATGTTGTCAAGGTGCCTCCTTTTCTGAATCGGTAAAGGAAAAATTGCATCTACCAACTAGAGCGATGTGTCTCCCACGGCTCCTTCCCAGAGGCTGCCAGCACAGCGAGGACAAAGCTCACCGCTCTCATGGCCTGCCAGAAGGCGCCGTCCTGCAACCTCACCGCACAGCCTCACACCAAAGTAGACACTTCCTGCAAACATGGATGGCAAATATCCGCATGCGGACTGCAAGCATGCATCAAGCGGACAAGACATGTTTGGCATACGGAATCCAAAACAAAGCTTGTTTGAGAACAACAATCCTGACCTTTTGCCAAATTTGGTGAGTTGAGGAGAGCTAGCTTCCCCCATTTACTTGCAACAACAGCAAATGGGGTGGCCATCTCGAAACCAATCCAACCCACCACTTGATCACGATATGACGATGTGGTACCTGGTATGCAACCCAAGTCACAAAACTCAAGTTCCGAGCCTCGCCGCACGGCGCCTCGTCTGCCTGGACCCCCCCTCCCGCTGCAGCGGGCGCTTCGTTCCGGAGCACTGGAGCCAGCACTCTCGGAAGGCGACCATGCGCCGTTTGCAGGGGCGAACTTGGCAAGTCGAAAAGCGTGGGAGAGCAAAAAATCGAAGAGCAAAAACGAGAAACAACAACAACAACCACAACCACAAGTAGAAAACGTAGAAATACCAGTAGAGCCGGCGAAGCTGGTGGGCGGAAGTTTCAAAAATATAAAACTATAGTTATCTTTCTCTTTCTTTTCTTGACTATTTCTCTTCTTCTTCCTTTTCATTGTTTCTTCTTTCTCCGTCATTCTTCCTTTCTTCCTTTCTTTCCTTCCTCCCTTCTTTCCTTCTTTCTATCTGTCTTTTCTTTCTTTCTTTCGTTCGCTTATCTATCTATCTTTCTCTACCTATCTATCTACCCTAACTACCCATCTATCTCTCTATCTCTCTACGCATCCCTCTATCTACCCATCTATCTATCTCTCTCTCTATCTGTCTGTCTCTCTATCTCTCTATCTATCTATATATCTCTCTATCTCTGTCTGTCTATCTATCTATCTGTCTATTTACCTCTCTATCTCTTTATCTATCTACATATCTAACTATCTTTTTCTCTACCCATCTACCTACCTATCTATCTCTCTTTGTATAAATTTATCTATTTATCTATCTATCTATCTATCTGTCTTCTGTTTGTTTCTCGATCTCTTTATGTGTCTCTCTATTTCTCTTTCTTTTTATTTATCTCTCTATCTCTCTTTCTTTCTATCTCTCTATCTCTTTCTCTGTCTCTTTCTATGTATCCATCTATCTCTCCATCTATCTCCCGCGCGTCTATCTATCTATCTATCTACCCATCTACCTATCTCTCTCCATCTATTTATCTATCTGTCGCTCTCTCGATCTGTCCATCTCTTTATCTGTTTACTATCTCATGTGTCCCTCTATCTACCCATCTCTCCATCTATCTCTATCTGTCTATCTATCTATCTATCTATTTACATCTCTATCTATTTATCTATCTATATATCTGTCTATCTATTTCTCTATCCATCTACCTATCTATCTATCTCTCTTTCTATATGTGTATCTATCTATCTCTCTATCTATCTATCTATCTAGCTGTCTATCTATCTTCTGTTTGTTTATCGATCTATCTATTTGTCTCTCTATTTCTCTTCCTTTCTATCTATCTCTCTCTCTTTCTTTCTATCTCTCTATCTCTTTCTCTATCTCTTTCTATCTATCCATCTATGTCCCGCGTGTCTATCTCTCTGTCTGTCGATGCATCTGTCTCTCTATCTGTCTATCTCTCTATCTCTCTATCTATCTATCTCTATAAATCTCTCTATGTGTCCCTCTGTCTACCTATCTACCAATCTCTTTCTCTATCTGTCTATCTCTTTATCTATCTATTTATCTACCTCTCTATCTCATTATCTCACGTGTGTTTCTCCATCCCCTTATCTCTCCATCTATCTATAAATTTCCAAACATCTATAGATCTACCTATCTTTCCATCTCTCTATCTACCTCTCTATCTCATTCTCTCTATCTGTCTATGTATCTATCTTTCTATTTATCTCTCTCTCTCTCTCTATCTATCTATCTATTTATCTATCTACCTATCTATCTATCTGTTTCTTTCTCTATCTCTTTCTGTCGATCTCTCTAGCTATCTCTCTATCTGTCTATCGATCTATATCTACACTTAACAATTGCGATTTTCAATCCGCACTACTTTCGTACTTAAAAGTTGCGCTTTTCGAGCCCCAGCTGCGAAAGTGGGCTTCACGTACGATTTTCAAGCCCCAGCTGCGAAATGCGCGGGGGCAGCGCGCAGCGGCTGGACTGGCTGGTCGTGGAGATCACGCGCTGACATGGCGCTCTGGGCCTAGGCCGGGCGGCCCATCAGCGCCCCATTGGAGCACAGCCAGCTGGTCCGGGATCTCACGGAGAACACCGACCCCGGCATCTTCCACTTCGTGAAGTGGCTGGTCGGGGAGGAGGGCCAAGGGAGGCTGAGGGAGCTCTTGCCCTCAAAGCCCGGGTGGCCGGACACCACGCTGGTCATCACCACAGCAAGCGCATGGCCGACGCAGCGGTTTTTTGCTGGTTTTTGGCACTGTCACTCAACGTCAAAAACGACGAAGAACGACAGTGGGCCTTTTTTCATTCTTTGCGCGCTGCCATCTGCCGTCAAAAACGAAGGGCAGCGGGCTTTTTTTTAGATTTTGCTAGTTTTTTTTTGCGCTGCCAAACTGGGCATTAACTGTCGTGAAAAACGACAATAAGTTTTTTGGAGCTAGTTTTTTGGCGCTGCCACTTGTCTTCAAAACTGGGCATTAGTTGTCCTCAAAAAGGACCTTGTTTTAAGCTTTTTGCCAGTTTTTTGGCGCTGTCACTCAACTTCAAAAACGAAGAAGGACAGCAGGCTTTTTTTTTGGATTTAGTCGAGCACAGAGACGCCCGTGCCGGAGAGCGTCACCAGCTGGTATCACCAGGTGGATGAACAGGTCCGTCATCGTGCCGTCCAGCGGCGCTGACCCCACTCAGTGCGACAGGCCTTAACAGAATGAAATTCTAAAGATGCAAAAGAGACTTCTTGTTTTTGGCATTATTCTTGCTTGGCGGCTTGGTTTCTTTCCTCGGTTTTTTTGCGTTGAACAAAAACAACTTTGGCATTGCTCGGCGGTGATGGGTTTGCGTGTTCTTTCACTCTTTGCAAGCTTGTCTGTTTGGTCTTCTTACAAGGTGAGGTGTAAAAATCTGCTGTTCAAAACTTGTTTTGATCTCGCACAAACGGCCTTTCGGTACGCAGTCTGTCAAGCTGCCATTCTACATGAATGCAACTATTCACACAAACAAAACAGAGTCTATCTCCACATGTAACCTACACACAGTTTGGTGTGTACTAACCCATGTCACATGCGAGTGCTAAGCACAAAAGTTCTCACCCCGCCTTTTGGGATGAGATCCTACGACTCAGGCCCAAAACGAGCTTTGTGCAGTGACCCATATCACTATCAGGCTCTGACCTTGGAAAACAAATGCACTTGGATGTGCTGCACGAATTATCATCTCGCACATACTCCAGAGGCAAACAGTTATCTGCCATCGCTGTCTGCTCCTGAAATCCTTTCGGCTGCAAGGTCACGAAGTTCTGACATCCTCTCAAAGAAGTCAGGTGTGCTGATTCTTCCTTCGGAGAAATTTCGCACGATTGTTGTAAACAGCTCGTAAGGGTTCTGGTCGCGCTGATCTTCCTGATCAGGCTCTGCAACTGCCGGCTGCTCAACATCTGTATGAAACTGCTCATGCAACTGCTGCAAAACATGAACACCTGTCTCATGAAGTTCACGTGCTGCAGGAACCATGTTTATGAAATCCTCCGGAGATCTCAAAGCATCTCCAGAGAAAGGTCCAATATTGAAACTCCCTGCTTGCACTTCACCACGTTGAGCGGCTTCATAGCTTCTCACGCAAAATCCCATCATCATATTCCAGTGGCACAAGTTTGCTGTGTACACTTTCTCAACTTCTCTTGCAATCGAATGCTGATTCAAACGAATGCCGTGACACACGCCTTGTACATCTGCAATGTTCTCGCTAGCACTGTCGCACATGACTGTGAGCTCTGTAATGTCACGCATAGTCTCACAATGCCGTTTCTTCATCTCATCTTGCATGGCATCCTGCAATTTGCAAATACGTCTCAACATGCATGCAAACCATACAAGTAAAGCACAGAGAAAAACCGTCACCAAGCTCAAGGCCGTGCATATAAAACTCCAATGAGTCATGACATGAAAACTGAAATCAAAATCTGAATTGGGCTCACAAGAAAACTCATCTGGCTGCATTGGTCTGCACTCACAAAGCATGCTGCTCCACCTTGCAAAAGATTGCCTGCAAACATGATCTGCATCACCTCCAGGAATCGATTCCCTGCGACTGTCTTTGCGTTCTTCCGCACCTGAATGCCTTTGAGATGTTTCTCAAACATGTCTCCCCTCTCATTCTTTCCAACTTCTTCAAATCCTGAATGAAAACCAAGCATATTCAACAACGCCAAATGTCTTGCCCTCGTCAGTGGCTTCGTTGCTGCATCACTTGGATTGAGTGTGGTGGACACCTGCCGAATTTCCAAACCACCCGTATGTGTCAATGTCTGCAACCAAAGCAACTTTCCATGCACATGTCGCAACCTGCCGCCTCCAAGCTTCTGACATAGTTGTCTCACGGCAGAATTGTCTACATGCAAAGTGTGCTTGATCTTGATGTGGCCTGGCAACAAAAACTCCAAACAATGTTTAATGAACAGAGTGTCAACAGTCCCACTTGTAGCTGCATACATGCTTCTGTCGAACTGAGGCTCACCACCTTCTGTGTCCGGCTCGTCATGGACAATGGAATACCATTGATTGTCTGCACTGCGCCTGACGTGCTCTTCAACCAACTGCCCATCCAGTCCGAATCCGTGTTTTTTTTTAACTCTTGTAGACGCACACCCTCGTGTGATGCACGCCAGTTCGCATCGATGCCGGTGTGGTATTCACACCGGCTAGTGAACGAAGCAGTTGAAAGTGCACCCCACCTCACCCCCACCAGCCGACCCCAAAACCGCAACAAAAGGAAGGGGGCCCACCAAACGGAAACAACCCAAACAAAAGAGGGGGAAGAGGGGCACACCAACATCCGCGAATCCCCATGGGCGAGAGGCTCAATCCGCCTGAGTCCTAGCCAGTGGCACAAGACTAACCTGCATCTTCTTCCAGGCACGTAGTTTAAGCGCAGCAGCCACGTCTGGCAGCTCCGTGACTGGCATTGGCACGTGTGCTAGCGGGTCAAGTTTAGGCCACCCCCGAAACGACCTGGTTTGCAGGTCGAAAGAACAGCTTTCTGCACCGTGGCTGCTGTTTCAATGGACCTGAGCATTTCTGGTCTCTGGGAGAGACCAGAGCCGTAATCAATTGGTAGTATTTTCTGAAGCGATCTGACGCAGCTGGCCTCGGAATATGGAAAAAGGGGACTTTGGAGGAGGTGCGAGAC